TATCAAATAAGGTAAACAGGGATAAGATAAACAGTATAGGGATAATTGAGATGTTGCATGGATGTTCAGATGTTAACTCATTCTGGAATATTGAGGATTTATGTTGCATCACAGTTACATCAGATTTTCAGCAAAGTCTTGGATCTGAACAATCTCGATGTTGCAAGGTCCTGAGGTGCAACTTTTTGACTGGAACAGAACTTCAATAGTCAAAGTAGTGCAAAATTGAGTGCTAATGAAGTTCTGGGTAATAAACGTGAAAAATAAACCTGCAAAATAAAATACATTTCTCTGGCAGTGGATGAATGCCATAATTTTGAAGTTCAATCTTAAAAACAAACTTAATTACTCAAAAGCTCCATTTCGTATACAGGACTGCAGTAATATATATGCCCATTCTTTCTTTTTTGCTAGGACTGCTTCATTGGATTTGGAGGGAATGTAATCAGGAAGCAAGTAAAGGAGAAAGCTAAATGGTACATTACTCACTTTGATGAACTACTAAAGGAACTGGAAGAACGATAAATTATACAGTAAAATAATATATTTAACAACTATAAATACAATTCAATTAAACATATATTTGTTTGCAAAGTTGTGTTCTGTATTTTTTAAATGATTTGGGGTGATAATAATCTTCTCTTTCTGACCTGGAACTCAAGATGCAAATGTTCCCATGCTACTGAAGTATTATGTAATGGAAGTGCTAAGTTTTTTAAAACATCTTTTTCAAGGTGGAAGAGGTCAGTTGATTATTCACCCAAGGCAGGAATATATCAATAAGTTATTAACCCAGGGACTAATCCATTAATGTATTATTAATAGATACTTATTGCTTCAAAATCACTGAAGCTAATACCCATATTTATTTTAGGTAGTAGAAGAAGAGTAAGGGGACCAAAAGAAATAAGTTTGTGTAACCAATAACAATAATATAACAACTATAAATAATAACCATAGAATCTTACAAAGTAAAAAAAAAAAAAAAAAGTAAGTACTTGCTTCTCCAAAGAATCTCAGAATTCTTTGGAATTGTTCAGACAGGTAGGAAGAATATTTTTCCTTATTACTTAGCATCTCTGCTTTCACTAAAACAGGGCTAAAGGAGAACCTAACATGTTCTCATGTTTCTCAACATCCCTGTTACTCAACCCATAGCCTCAAAGATAGGAAGTGGGTGCAAAGCTCAGATATATTCCATGTTCATCAGAATCCAAGAAGCATATTTGAAAGCTAGTGATATGGTGCTTCCAATATCTCAGCAAAATAACTGCGAGTAACTCCAAAACTGTGATTTTTGGAAAAAAAATAAAAGCCAGACTATTTACTTAGGTGTTCTATTTATTTAACAATTCCTGCCCTGTCAACCTGTAACTCGATAGAAGCTGATTCATCTATCTTTACAAACAGATGGTCGACCGATTAAGAAAACATTGGGAAACACTTTCTTTGCCTCAAGTGTGGGTCAATTACCCCTAGACTGTCTGTGCCAGAAATATGTCTGACCTGTTCTAAACAAGTATTTCCCTGAGCTCCAACTAGCAAACTCTTGTTTTTTAATGGTTTCCCTTTTGTGGCTGCACTATCTGATGCAAGAGAGACCTTACACGGCACTGTCTAAATGCTGCCTCTTTTGACAGCAAGTCAAACGCTTCTGAGAGTGTCTTTTTAACCAGCTTTGCGGAAGGAACATGCACTTCAATCAAGACTTTTATCACTCAGACTTAAAAGCAAGTCACCTGAGATAATATAGAAAGCTTTACTAACATCAAAATTTATACCACCTCTTCCACTTTTTACCATCTACGGAACTTGTCACCATTACAGGAGAACGACTGAATGACAGACATGATCTGTCTTATCACACATAGAGATGAATGGCAGTTCTGAAGGATGCCATCTAAATTTTTTTTTTTTTGCAAAAGCAGAGACAATAATGATTTCTTGAAAGTACACCAGCATAAAAATATTTAAATTCTAAAGTAGTAAAATGAATAGAAGAAAATAAATTTGAACCAAAAAACTTTTCATGGGTTCTTAGAGAAATGGAGGCAGACGAACAGCATCCGTACACAGAGGCTAAAAAGCTTTGTGGAACCAGGTGGCAGACTGTTCACCAGGACTCTTAGTATTTAACATGATCTCCTTTAAATTCTTCCTGAGAAAAATCTCAGCCAGCTCCAAGGCAGCTCATGTACAATAAAGCTTTTGTTTAACACTGTATAAGCAGAACAAGTATAAACCCTTTCTATTCTCCTTCAGTGTTTCACTGCTCTCCTCCAAGATGAAACTCCAAAGTTACAGAGCAAGTGTTTCTGTTTGCTGCAACTTTCCATTGAATTAAAAGGCCAATATTTTTTTTAACATCCAGCTAATTGGATAGCTCTGAGCCCTGATCCTGCAAAAACGGAGGCATATTTTAAGTGTATCTAATTTCACTAATGCAACAGCGAAAAGCCTATGCATGAGGCTTTGTGCTAGAGAGATGTTAACATTCACCACAGTGTCTTCGGTCAGTGTGACTGCTATGGAAACACGGCATCGCGCCAAGGGTTCACAAGAGATCTCTAGGTCTGACTTTTTTTTTTTTTTAAGTCCCTTTCCTTTGTTTGTCTGAGCTGAAGATAGAAAAAAAAATAGGAGGGAATAAAGCATGAGAGGGAAGTTCCAATGTTAAAGCCAACCTACCAATTTATGTGAACATATCACAGCCAAGCAAAGGCTGGAGCAGGGGGTTGGACTAGGTGATCTCTAGAGGTCCTTCCAACCTCAACCCTTCTGTGAGTCTGTATTAGCAGATACCCTTCCAGGCATCATTCCCTGCTTTCCAGTTACCAGAGAGTGACATCGGTTCGGGGCTCTGTGATTTCTACCAAAGGAAAAGATGATGTCTTGCTAAACAACGGAAAGGGGAAACTTGGCCAGGGAATTGAGAGGGGAAATCATAGTTCACAGCAGGGGAAAATAAACTTCAAAAAGGGCTCTGGCAAAGGGTAAAAAGGAAGGGCTGCCAGTATTTACCTATCTACTGTGTCATGGCTTATGATTTTATATAGTTATCTGTAAGTAAAATAACAAGAACAGTGTCGCTCTGATGATGGCAGGGAAAGGCCAGCCTTGAATGATGGGAGGCATATTCCTAAGGCAGCATTTCAACGGCACTACCCGGGATGCACAGTTCAGATCCCAGGCAGCACGCAAAGACTGAAGGGACTTGTGCCACCATGATGCTACCCCGCAAAGCAGCCAGTTATACTTTACATTTTTTTTATTCATACAAAACTCCATAGATCTTAAAATCAGGATTCTGCCTGACCAGATTTAATTCTTAGTGCTCATGGCTGAAGATAAGAAACAAGATTCAATTAGAAACCATGAAATCTTTCAACTCCAGAAATGTTTTTTGCCTTGTATTTCCAACTGGGATCGCTAACAACAAAGGAGAAGGTACCAGGAGAATTCTCTATAAACTAGAAACATGTGTGGATACTAGGAAAGGAGGACTGAAAGCTGATGCTGTCGTCTGTCATTTCCTTTCTGCAGCTAAACAGTAGTCCAAAAAGTATAGAAAAAGATAGACTATAGACAGCTAGACTATGGACAGCACTATAAAAGATGGACTATAGACAGCACTATTCATGTGGCTGATTTAAAGAAGGGACAGCTTAAATGATATAATAAGCCCATTTTATAAGCTAAGCTGAGAACTTTAAACTAATATAATAAACTTACTCAGTTGACAACATAAACAATTAAGAACAAAATATGAAAACAGACAAGAATGAGATCAAATGGCAATTTTGTTCAAGATAAAATACAAATGAAGATTGCGCACTAGAGCACTTAGTAAACTGAAATGTTAGGGAAATACTGTAAACTCATTGTGGAGAAACCCAGCAGAATATTGGGAAACACTTTCCTTGACACGCAGCAAGTAACACTGGCTAATTTAGCTGAAATATTTTATGCAATTATTCAGATTTTTTTTGTAATAAACACCATGCAAGATGATATAAAACACAGATGGTGCAATACACATAGGGTGTCAGTAATATGTGAAAATTAAAAGGATTTTATTCACTGATATGTTCTTGCTGAACACTCACTGAAATGTACAAACTGGACATTCAGTAACTGATTTGTACATTCTGTATGTTACAGACTCTTGTAGCCACTTTGAAGAAAGACTATTACTTTCACTTACAGGATGTTCACATCATTGCAGACATTAAAAGAGTTGATATATTCTAGTCTAAAAGTGAAATCGAAATAGAACTGGACATAATGGTACACTGCTTTATGCCAATTCTACTGACTCAACATGCGCCGGTTTCACACAGCAATTCATAAGTACCTACCGTATAGTTAGTGGAACACCTGACCAAGCATATGTCTGAAGGCATGATTGCTTATGAAACAGAACCCCTTTTCTTAGATGTCTATGCTATATTTTTTTTTAGCAATACATGTATAACTCAACTCAAACGCCTGGAGAACATTCAGACAACCACTTGTTGACAAGCACTTTGTACACTGTGAGTCATACTTTCAAAAAGTCTGTAAATAATTTCACAAAATTAATTTCGGATGGAGACATCTAGGCAAATGCTTGGTTACTTTCAACAGGCTTCAGAGTCCTTGCAAAAAGGAATGCACTAGTCGCTGCCCATAATCTATCACCTGACTGGCAGATTATCCTTAATTAATAACTGCCTCCTTTCAAGGTTAGAGCTACTTACTGATTTCAGTCCCACAAAACAGCTGGGTGTATTTCAGAGACATCGCAGTTGACTGGGGGCTTCAGAGGTCCTATTTTCAGACATTCACTTTCTGTCTTTTCAATCTACCATCACTTTAATGTTGCATGAAGACCAGAGCAACTGCAATGCCTCTTCCTTGGCTGTTACTGAGTAGTGGGCCCTTAAACACCAAGCACTGTATGTCACATTTAACCTGAGGAGCTTGTCTCACAAAGGAACTTGTCTCTGAACTTGTTTATAGTTAAGAAACTTTTAAACTGCAGTCCTACATTTCTTTTCTAAGAACAAAAAGGTCGTTAGATTCTGAAGAAAAGAGGTCTCTTTTATAAGCTCGGTACAGTACTTTTATATTTCTGACTATGATATACAATGTATACCATAAATTAATTTAAGACAAATACTTGTCACTTTAATCTATGTAGGCACAAGTAAATCAATGACGTTACTGAAGCGGAGAAATCTTCAATGGTATCATGATTCTGGACTCCATTTCCTGAATAAGGGGCACTGAAAAAAATTGAGATAGGTTTTAATTTCACTAACGAAGATCATAAATAGTTCTGTACACTCAGTTTGAACAGGTATTATTGTCTTCAAACCACTCTCATAGCTACAGCATGCCAAAACTTCAATAACCATCAACAATCCCATAACTGAAGCGTAATAGTTTTGAGAACAAGTGATTTTGTTAATAAGATCTGCTTTGATCCTTTGAACCAAAACAGCTTTTGAAGACAAATATTTCTGTTCCTTTTCACCATAATTAAAGCTATCTTACAATTATTCTGGAGTACTTTCTTTGCAATCTATTTTATTTAACCAAAATCTGAAATTATTAGCATAGTTTTGTGACAGTTTTGTTTTGAGAGCCATCTTTGATCTCAAAGATCTTCTGGCTCCAAAGTCTAATAGACTCAAAGTCTAATTTGCCTTTTCAAAGGAATGTATTTTAAAGTTCCAGCATGTCATGAAGTATTAGAGATAAAAAATAATATAACAATAAATGTCATTTACTGCCTGAATTTTTGGATACAAACTTAAATATTTCACAGATCTGCTCCCTTACAGGATAAGCGTTTTTATAAACATTTACTATTAATGTACCACTTTATCTTAGCTACTAGGTAAGATCTCTGAAGACTGTGCAGT